AATTTCCTAAAAGACTCTATGATATGTTAAGACATGCATAGCGACAAACTCCCTTCCACTGACAATTTTTACCTGTGTAACCTGCCTGACAGGTTTTTATACCCAATTCACATCCTGAGTTGTTCTTCTTTTCAATGATATTAATCCTTCAGTTGCATTGGAGCCTAACAACGGGGTGTTTTGTTTCCTTATAATTTCATTGTCTTTATTATTTTTTGTGGGGTGGCGGTAAAGTTGGACGGTGGGGTATTTCCGGTAAGGATTTTGGTTCATTATTCAGATGTATTCTGAGTATAATGCTTAACAAAATATATCCTGCTTTGGAGTTTTCATAAATTAATATCATATACGATTAATTCTAAATTCATTGTACCCTGGCCAGGCTTGAAGGTGCATTTTCATCTTGTGAATTTTTTTTTTTTTTTTAAATCTAAACTTTAAACTAAATTTTCTCATTTCTGGGTATGTTAGAAGCTAAGAGAGGGGGGAAAAAAAAATAGTTAATTTTATTTTAAACTACAATATTTAAAGTCAAATAAACAGAATAACTTTTAAGGAATATTTAATTATCAGATATAGGTCCAATGCCACTTTACCAACACCCTTGGTTCCAGAATCATATTAGATTATCCATTTTTATCTGTTTTCTAAACCAGCAGAATTCATGTAATAATAATTCTACAGTAGACTTTGGGCATAACAGTGACATCTGATTTTTAACAATGATGTTCAGTCTGTACAATGCCCAAGAGCCACTCAGTATGGAGCGTTATGGAGTAAGAGGCACAGTTTGTAGGGATATGTGGGGAAGGTAAAGCTTTAAAGAATTAAGATTGTTAGAAACTTTAATTTACCAAAATATTTCTCCTTTCTCATATATAATGATTGGAATTGCTTGAACTGTTGTTCATAATAAGAATAATTTTACTGCCTTTTTGTACATTCAGGTGCAAAATATAAGATGGAAGTATTACAAATTGTGGTATTGATGTAAAGAAAAAAAAAAAATCAGGTGTAAATTTTAATTCATTTTTTATATATATATATATATATATATATATATATATATATATATATATATATATATATATCTGTTTATCTGCTTGGTCAAAATTAATTCAGTGGGTGAGGAATGGTTAACTGGAATGACTTTTCCACAGCGCAGGCCTATATGATGGTATATGGAGGTTGCCCAGAATACATTGCCCACCACCTCCACTATACTGACAAGATCCAAAGAAAAATATATATATATATATATATATTAAATATAACAGACAATGAATGTTTTTTATGTTTTATCATGAGCCTTTACAAGCATCATATAATGGCTTTAGTTTCAAGAGAAA